ATTTAATATTCGATTTACTTTCATAATCTTCAATGCCATTATTAAAGATAATAATAATAATAATAATTTGTTATATTAGTTGTCAATATCACTTGAAATATTAAATGTCAACGTACGATTCATTTTTTCAATTCAAATTTTACTGCTTACAATTATCTTTAACATCTTAGCAAGTAATCAAAATGACTCAAACTTAATTCAGAAAATTAGTATGATAAAAAATATTAAAGTACGTTAGAGAAAGTGAAGTAGCATTATTAATTTTCAAATAAATCAATTAGCAAAATTTTTTATTTTTTTCATTTTTGCGAAAATTCATGCAGGCATAACAAACACTGACAATTTTTTCGCTTGCTTGACTCGCCTTTAATTATAAACATTTATGTGACAGTCGACGAATTGTACATGTTTTAAAGTCAAATCAGTTTCAGTTCTAATTTCTCAGAAATTTTGCCAGGCATTATTTATAAGAAACAATTTCTGACACTCATACAAGAATTTAAAAAATTGCTCAAAAATGTGCAGCTTATACAACTTTGCATCTCACTTACTTACGCTTTTACATTGTAAATATTATTGGGTTTGATATAAAAATCCGAAAAATTAATTGAAAACTTGATTAAGTATTAATTAAAAATAATAAAATATACTCTGGCATACAATATTTTGGTTCGCAATAATCGTTTGATTCAGTTCATTTATGTAATTCTCAATAATTCTAGTTATCAAGCGAAAATTTAAATTGTATAATTATCACTGAATTGTTACGCATTTATTCCCAAAATTGATATTCTAAACTTTGATTTTTCACTTCTAATTTCAGTAATTATTTGAATGTAATTTTTTTTTCAGTCATTTGTAATAGGTCGGATATATTTCACTAATTTACTAGAATGTATGCTGAATGCAAAAGTTAGAAAAACTTGAGCGTTTGCTGGATAATATTTATGCTGTATTTAGATCCTTAAACAATCATCAAAAATATTTTAAAAAGTAAAAAAGTTAGTAAAAAAAACTTGATAAGAAAATAAAAATTTTACTCATTAACTTGTAATCTGATTCATTTCTAAAATAGAAATTGCAAAGAATAATATCTAATTGGATTGCAAGATAAGAACAATGACTGATTTAGACTTTCTCAAAAGTTTAGTATAGTAGACTAAAAGGTTTCAGATTATCTAGCGAGCAAAACCATAAAAATTATCTTGATCGTAATATTTTGACCAATATATACAATAAACACCATTTTATTTTTATTTTGTTCTAACGAGTTTGATTCAAATATGTGATTAATAGCAATTCATTTTATACCCATGAATTCTAAATGAATATACGATGAATATTCATCTAGTAAATTTTATTTTAATTACTTTTGACTTAAGTTGTTTAATGACGAACTAATGCTAACTTTAAAATGTTTAATCACAAATTAATTTTGTGTTTGTGTTTAACCACGATTAAACCTCAACTTAATTTAATATTAATCAGCATTTCGATTAATCACAAGAATTCTTCAGATCATACCATACAATACTAAATAATTCTTCAATTATTTTATCTTTCAAGCAGTACAAGAATTTGACCGTTAATTACTAACCGGGTATCGAAAATTTTTGAACAATTTTTAAAGCTTACATTCGTTTTGATAAATATCAAAACCTCTTATTCTGCAGAGCACAGCAATTTTCCTTCTGCATTTTGAAAAATAAAATCACAAAATTTTATTTTTATTGCTTTTGTTTTAAAATAAAACTATTATATAATTCAGTTGTAAAAGTATTTGCTTGCTAAAAAACTGATAAAAATGAGAACAAAAAAGTAATTCAGTAAAATTTGCCTCTACTTAAATTTTTTAAAAATAATTCATTCCCATAAGCAATTTTTGCCATTTTTTTTACACTAAAATAATACCACACATGGCAAGAAGTAGAAGAGATGCTTCTCACAGATATCATATTCCCAGCTGCTTAACTTGTTAGCTATAAGTAAGCTTAGAACAGTTGTTCAAATTGATCTCTTTTTAAGATTCTCAGAAGAAGAAAAGCAAAGTCCTCAAGGAATTCTTTACAAACTGGTGATATTCACTTTGCCATTTCTTACACTTTTGCTAGCTTCATTAAAGCGAAATTTCTAAATTCTACACTCCTGTAGTACTGATAAGATATTGTAGCACAATTTGCAAGTGTTTAGTAATATATTACTAAACACTAATAATAATGATATATATTAAGCATATATTTTTAGCAACCAACTTTATTCTGCTTCATGCATTTTTAGCAATTAATAATGATAATGATGACTATAATGAATTAAAATGAATATATGACATCTGCAAAGATTTATTTTTACATTTAAGATGCATTGGAAAATATGGAAATAAAAAATTATTATAATTCTATACTTACGCAAAATAATGGGATTGAAAAGTATAAATATTATAAAAAACAAAAAGCATTAGGTTCAAATTGTAGTCATCACACGCAATTGTTTCTTACCTTAACAATAACTTAAATATACATTTTTTGACTTAAAAAAATTAATCTTAAGATTTTCATCATTTGTCTTTTCTCGGAAAAATGTAGGTTTCTGAAAAATTGCTTTCTTTTAATTTATAGAAATAAAAAAGCGCAAATTTAATATATAAATGTAGAAAAGTGAAATATTACTTCTATGGAGATATAGAAATTGCTGAATAATATATAAAGACGAGATTAGTTTTAATCGCTAAAGCAAATAAAAAAAATTAATAATGATATTATTTATTCTAATAAAATAATTTTTTTTTAAACAATTAATGTAATACGAAAATAAAAGTAATTGAAATGGAATCAATTTTTTTGAAGGTATGAGGCAAATTTTAGAAAAAAGTAAACAAACATGAAATAAAAGTAAATTAACCTGGGACTAAATTAAACGGCTTATCACTGTTTCGAACATCGCGACAGTGTTCATTTGCAGTACTCATATGACGATGTTGATACCGGGGGTGATGTTGTATTTGACTGTATTCAGAAGAAAACTTCTCTGCCATTACTGTTCGACTTCGACGTAAGGGATTTCTTTCTGGGGAATTGTCAAGCATGGCTTTGAAGAATTTTTTAAAAAATAAAAATTTCAAAAGGATAAATTTTGCTCTGACAAAAAAATAGTTTCCATTTTTGAATTTGAATAAAAATAAAAAGCAATGACTAATTAATGACTAATAATATGCAAAACGAAATTTCAGTTCCCAAAATTTTCTTCGATCAAATTTTAAGCAAAATGTTTGCATGAAGTAAATACTTTGGAGAAATATAAAGTTGTTCAAATCTGAAAAACAATATTTTATTGAAAACGTAGCGATGTTAGAAAGTAATCAACGAACGCTATAATAATACAAACTCAAAAATCAAAGCTGAAATAACTTGCAGAATTTGCAACCTTTTATAATTTATTATTATGCATGCAATGAAATTATATCAATTAGACACTGAATCTGTTTGAACTAATATCAGGAAATTAAGTCACACAATTCTTCTTGAATAAGCTTGAGTCATGAATAAGTAATTATCATCTCTTATTCATGTTATCAGCCTTCGAAATTACTTCGAATATTATGCGTTGCTTACATACATACCTATAAGAATTATTATTTACAATGTATAAATAATTCACGTCACATTATGTAAGTCAAAAAGCATTTCCCAATTATGAATTATTAAAGAGATTACTTATCAAAGAGTACATCACGTTTTTTGAATTGAAAGCATTTAATTACTTAATGCTTCGAAGTGTTCCATTTAAATTAAATTAATAAACAAATTTTTAGTAAACTTAGTCTTTTATAATCCAAAAATTTGTAAAAAAAAGTGTTTGGCAGAAAAAAATGTTTAATAAGCAATTCTGTCAGTTTAATATTGCTTTAAAATATTTTGCATAAGCAACAAAAAACTTGGTTAGTTAGCAAGTTTTGACTGAAATGATATTCATGCAAATTTTATGAATGTATGAATAGCCGTCAAATTTCCTTGAATTTCTTCTAAAATACGTAAATGATATTCTGAAAATGAATGAAACGATGCAAAATTGATTACATATCTATCATTTCAGTCAATTTCAAAATTTGCACGATGTTATTTTGAAGAAATATTAGTGCAAATGCGATTTTAAAAAAAGAAAAACCGATATTATTACTGTGATAAAGAAGAAAACGCAAAGATATGCAAATAAATAAGTAAAAAGTGATGAATAAGTACAGATATTAAAGTAAGTATTAGTAAAAGTAAATTGAAATGAGTATGAAAAGCAAATAATTTTGAAGTAAATTGTTTGTGCCAGCAGCATCCTGAAATTTGGTGTGTGAAATGAATCGCACTTAAAGTTAGGCCTAACCACTGAGCAATAAAGTAACAATCTCTTTGGTAAGGCCTATTTAAGGCATGCCTTTGCATGATTCATTGGCTTCTTACTTACTCTTACATCAGTCCTGCATAGTTGTATAACGATTTTTCGTCTTGCTGCTATTATTGTTATTCCCTTCGTTATTTCATTTTAATTTCTACCTTTAGAGCAACGAGATTATTTATAATGAGAGCATGAGTTAATCTCATCAAATGTAAGAAGTATATATTTTATCACTTTTTAAGTTATTAATTGTAGAAAGTTACTTTTCTAGTCTAATTTTTAACCACATGCATTATTTGCCGTAATAATTATTTATTTTAATAATAATAATAATAATAATAATAGTAATAATAATATACGTACAAGCTTTATTATGATTTTATTTTCATCTCTCTTCCTGTTTTAAGTGATGAATTCAATAAGAGAGTTATCATTAAAACAAATTTTTCGATGCGTGCGGGAATACTTGAAAACTTTTATTTATCCTCAACTTCTTAAGGTATCACTCATAATTTTTGCATTAATTAATTTTTTCAAGACTTTAATCCGCTTGAACTAATCGAATTTTAGTTTCTAGGAAATTCTGATAAATAATTTCCTTAAATTCTATCTAAACATAATATGATTATAGCTAGTGCAATCAATCACGTGACTTAATTTTGTTTCTTCTTTTGGTCTTACATATATTTTTCTCAAATTTAATTGCGATTAATGAAACTGCCAAGACTAAGCATATTCTATCTCATTCATATTCCTGCCATTGAAACAAGAGGATAGACTGCAGCAGAAAGTTCAAACATATCAAGGTTAAAGGTGAGAGTTATAATTCTTGAGAGCATAATTTAAATTCGCAGCATGCAAGATTTTGAGTTCGAGATTAGTGAGGTGGCAAAAGATCTTATAAGATATAATGAAGAACTTAAATTAAATATAGACACAAAAATGAATAATAATTGTAAAATAAATCTGTAACTTTAAATTGAAAAAATGCGACGAAATTTTTGTAGAAAACAAATTCCAAAAAATGCATATAAGTAAGCAGAAATTGTAAGACAAGCAAATATTTATTAATATGAAAAATGAAAGAATAATTTTAAATTCAAAATATTTTATATTCATTAACAGTGTTCATTTTTATTTTCAACATGCAAAATTTTAAATATGGTAAGAAGCAAAATCAGCTTTTGCAAATTTATTTGGAAAAACAAGCAAGATATTGGTCGACTAATATCTGCGAGGATCACACAATATAATCAAATTTCAAAAAATAATTGCTGGTTTTATTTGATTTTGATTTTCAAGGAAACAGAAACAAATCATTTCTCAATTCCATTTCCAAACAATTCATACTTTCAATTTCAAGATATTTAGTAGTACGATGTAAATAATATTATTTTTCACTATTTTCCTGTTAATCAAATGCTTACCACAATACAAAACCATTACTCATTTAAGCATATTATTCTCTTGTCATTTGTTGAATTGGATTTCAAATTTTCTTGACTTATGAGTCAAGCAAATTATAACTCACAATTATTTTTAATCCTAGCACCACACTACTTTCAAAATGTTTCTACATTTTGTAATCCCAGAATAATTCGTTAGAATAAAAATTATACTAAGCTTAAAATAGTGCTAAGACTTGGCATAACTCTTATGATCACAAATTTTTAAATAAAGAATAAATCTTCTGCTAATTACTTTAGTATTATTAGTATAATTACTATCAATTATATTAATTGCTTTTATTGTAACATTAATAATATCGTCTTTCCCTTCATACTTCGTTTTCTATGCTTTTTGGTAACGTACTTCAAAATGTTTCTGATTCAAAAATGCTCCTACTTTTTGCATTAAAAATGACAATTAAAGTACGACTATACACACATTGCTAGCATCAAAATTTTTTGAATAATGTGATGTGTTAACTACAGGATAATATCTAAAATGGGGCACTCTAGAGCGAAAATAATGGATGGTACCCCATGGGATATAAATTTGAGGATTTGATTTTTGATTTTTCACTTGATTACTTTAAATGACTGTCATTTTTCACATCAATTTCGTTCAAATCTCATAACCATATAAAAATTTAATATGTTTCTGGCGGTCATTATTATAATTCATACTAAATAAATATATTTTGCTCTCAAATTAAAATCTATGAACACTAGAAAATTGCGCATACGACAAAAAAACGAAGATGAAAGCAGTACTAGAATTAAATTATGAGATTCGAACATGGGAATATACAGGACATGAAATGAGTTTGCTTCTCATCATGGAGCAGTTTTTAATTTAGAGGCAAGTCATCTGGTTTATGGTTCAGCCTTAATAACTGTTATCAGTCAGCAGTAGCTTCACAATTCATCATGTAATCAGCAAAAAGCTTAAGTTTTTAAGACAGCCATTTGTCTGATTCTAATATTTGTAAACACTGAATAACTGAATCATAATAGATTACCAATAGGACTAATTACATAGTAATACCGATTATTTTAGTCACTTTTAACTGCTCTTAAAATTCACAAAAATTAGGAGATTCAATTTTGTATTACATCACTTTGTTCTTCCATTTTTCATTAAACTAGTACTTTTTACTTTGGTTTTCTTTTCTGCAAAATAAGAATACCAAACTATAAACAATAATACGGGAAGCAACTTGATTAGTTCAAATTTGAGGCTTTTAATATTTTGAAAAAATAACATTTCAAACTTATCACTAATAGGTGATTGATATGATATGTGATATGATACGAAGAACTGTCTCACGTCAAACACAGCAAAAATAATGTAAACAGCTCATGTTCATGAGTGAAAATATTTGTTATTTTTTATAAAATTTTCAATTCTGTTTTACTTCATTTCTTCATTCTTTTACTTTCATATTATTTACATAAAAATCACTGATATCTATCTAGTAGGAAGTTCTAATCTTAAAAAGTAAGCAAAAAAAATTTATGAACTAAGTGTTCACAATATGTAAACCAAGATTTCAGCTATTTACTTACTCAATTTGCTAGCTTGAATCTAATTTTTAAACGTTTCTAAGCAAAATTATAGAAATTTGAATCAGTATGCCTTCTCTATTTAGCTACTGATACGAAGGTATTAGAAAAATTACTGCATATTTCATATTCAGGAAAAGAGAATTTACTTTATTTTTTAATATGAAATTAACATAAAGAGTTATTAAAAAATGCTTTATAGTACTTCAATTCACGCTGTTGAAATCAAAAGAAATTAAAATATGAAACATTTCTTGCATTAAAATTTGATTCACTGTTGCGGAATCTGATGTCCTTTTATTCTTTGCAGAATTAGTAGCGTTTTATTCGTTAAAAATTACATGTTACATGTATAATTTGATATATGTATGTAGCTGAATAAATATTAAATCTGTCATACATTTATTGATTTCATTGACAAGTTATTAAAAAATAGTAAT